GAATTATTAAAATCATTATGGCGTGATACACCTGAATGAAAAATGAAAAGGTTGTAAATTCCAGCATACTAAATGAAATGGTAGGCCGGTAATGCCCACGATTTTCATATTTAGTTCTTTCTCCCACGCTAATCAATATTGTGTTGCATAATACAAAAACAGTTGTCGAACATTACATGAAATAGAATAGAGTTGTTAAAGAGCAGTGTCGACAGAATATATTACTTTTGCATAATCTATTTGACATGGTGCGTATTCCTAGAAACGACAGAAGTGCGAAAACTTTCTGAGCGGTTTCATTCTACATTAAACACTGGTTGCCCCAAAAATATAATCTCGTCCAATAAATAAGGTATAAGTTAACTGAAAATTCAAGCAGGTTGAATCAAAATGTTCTTCATTGGATGGCAAAGCTATAAATGACATCAAAAATACTTCAAAACCATTTATAAGCTAACTGCTATTTACAAGGTCGGTCTCAAAGTGAACAGGACAAAGAAAAAAATGAACAAACATTTTTTGTTTTGGAAAATCAAATTTATTTTATTCAAAATAGTCTCCATAGTTAATACAGCGATTTACATGGACCAAAAGATTTTCGAATGATGATTGGTAGTCGACGCCTTTTGGATGGCCTCTACGCCGACATACCGCTGTCCCTTCATGGCCAATAATGTAGTTTACCGAACAGAAAATAGTCACACATATAACGAGAATATGGGGAGTGGTTAATGGTTAAAATGCCATTTTTTGTCAAGTTTCGTCACCAGTCACAATGTTGTACAGAAAGTTTTTGTCTTTTCTGGCCTCTTTAATGATGTCTCTCGAATGTTGAATTCGAACAAATTTTTGGTCATCCGTGAGCTTGTGCGGACCAAACCGTGAACAACACCTTTCTCATGCCGAAATTATTGGTCAAAATGCGATGGATTGAACCTGTATAGATATTTAATTCCATTTCTATGTATCTCAATGAAGATTTTGGATCACTTTTCATACATTCACGCACTTTTTCGACGGTTTCTGGCGTAATCTCAAATTTTGGCTGGCCAACATGTTCATCGTCTTTCAGCGACTCACGACCCTCTTTGAACCGTGTAAACCACTCGTGGTGTCGGCTATGAGATAAACAATCAATCATCACCATACACTTGCATCAACATCTGATGTGTTTCGGTAAATGTTTTACCAAGTTTAACACATAACTTAATATCAGCTCTTTATTCGATGCTCATTTTTCGACCGATGCTAAAAACGTGCTGTCACTTTGAACGCGATAATTCCGCATGAAGTGGTTCGATTGTCATGAAATTTTGACAGTGCATCAACGACAGATGTACATATCCAATGCTAGTATAACAGATGACGCTACTTGTATCGGATATCTTTCAAAAGTCCATTTTACTGTGCGACATACCTAGTATAAAAACTTACAAGAATCCTTTATGGTAACCAACAAGAGAGCAACAATAGTCAGTGGATTTATCGGTGATGATTCTAAGAATTTCTCAGGCCTATTGACGACCAAGGTAAAAACTATCAATGTCCTTTAATAAAATAATATAGGGTAAAAGTACCAAACACTTGTGTTTAGGTACTGATATGGAAAAACAACCGAAGCTTGAGTCGCAATTGTGTAACTAAGGCAAGTAAAGGTCTTGTATAAAGAGTTGATATTTGTTCCGTCCGGCGTTTACCGACAGATTTTCCAAAAATATTGTAATCTCCACTATGACCCATATAAAAAAAATTAATTATAATTGGTTTAGTGGTTACTAATATCACGTGGTAACAACAAACTACAACTAAAAAAAACTTTGGCTATGCGCACTATATTAGTTTGTGTTATACGCCTATTAATTTAATGTTAAAAGCCCTGGGATGGCTTTCAATACAGCAAAAGGTTGGAATGTCAAATGGCTTATTTATTTTTATAACAAAAAATCAATTATTGCCTGAATACTTGCAGGAACATCTAATACCGAGGACGTAACACTTTTGATATAGAATTCACTAGAACATCCCATATGCAAAAATGTGCAATAGCAATTGTATCTAGATAAAATGGCATAATATATGTGCTTTCTGTGTTAAGATAACTGTATGATATTATCTCGCATTTGCTATTGTTGCATTTACTATGATTTTAAAGGAATTTAGAATTACTGTTTTTTGTTTTTTACTTGAGTAAGATACTATTATAAACTATAGGAAGTAGCTTTAGGGCTAAGAATAATAAACATTTAATTTCATTTCAAATTGTTGAATTGTTTTAGGGTCGCTCTATTTCCCCGCATATAGCTGTTGACAATCACGTTTTGTCATGCAATTAATTCACAAAACCAGTCAATAGATTGACAAGTAAACGTTATAGTGTAGATCTGATTGAACTTATGAAAGGAAGGGGAAGGCTATTTGCTATAAGAGTGAGTACTAACTTTTATATTCACCCTTTTTTGAAGGTTTGCGTCTTATTTGGATTGAGTTTTTACTTTAAACATTAGTCACTTTACTTAAACTTGATATTTTTGGAAATAAAAACATTCAATTACTTGTATTTTATATATATATATATATATATATATATATATATATATATATATATATATATATATATATTACTAATTGACTGACTCACTCTCTAAAATTACTATCTCGGATATTTACATTGTTACTAGTAAACCAGCTTACTTCTGTTGCGTTTTAACTATCTAAGAATTTTCCACGCTTGTTATGGGTGGCACATACTACCAACAACGTCTTAATGAAGTAATATCCGGACTTGTCTTTTTTATACTTATTTTTCAGGTGGCTCAGATGTTTGACATTCTCTGTAACATGTTATAAACATTGTTAATTAATTTAGTATGCAGACCGGAAGGAGCCATATTAATAAACCTCGACAAAAACATCATCAACTACAGTTAATATATTTTAAGAGAATAATCTATTTATAAAGATGTGCTTCTTTCTTATTTTTTATTAGGGAAACATTCTTGCAGCGAAACGAGGAAGAACAATTGATATTTGAAGTTATCCATAATTATATATTTATAAAATCAGGCACAATACGTAAAGTTACGTTACTGAAAACTTGGGAGCACTGATCTATAGAAGATTTTTCTATATCAGAATCAAACAGCTTTGAATGACACTAGATGGTTTTAACATTATTTTTTATGTTGATATTGGATTGTGTTTCTTATTTTAGTGTTGTTGAAAACATAAAATAGTGTGTAAAAAATCATGTAAGACAATGAGGTTCGTTTTGTACTCAAAACTGGGGTTCTCTCAACTAATATAGGTATTGAATTGTTCATGATACGTAACATTCTAGGGTAAAAAACTCAATTCCCTGGGTGAGGTCAGCCAATAAGGCCAGCTAGGTGGATCTGTTAGCATTTATCAAATATTTGATATAAGAGCCATCATCGTTACTCTAGTCGAGTGTAACATCTTAAATGGGTGTTCCTAATTCCCAGCGAGATACAATAGTTTTCAAATAGTATTTTTGGATTGGTGTGGAGAAACTCAATATATTATTAATGAAATACTATTTGCCTTATGCACCATTATGTAAAGTACCTTTTGATATTCGACACTGTAGATTAATAAATGTAAACTCACTGACTAAATTTTCAAGGCGATGAGTGTGACAGAGATGGATGTATGAAAGCAATTGCTGTAGTATTAGTGTAACGTGCCAAAAACCTTGAAAATATTTATGCCACATGAATTGGTGCAATTTCCCTTAGGGAAGCTGAGCTCAGTGCGATAGTACAGCTGGTCAATCTGTTTACTTATTTCGTATGAGATTGTGATGTAACCACAAAAAACCGTGAAATGAACTATACACACATATATACAGGTGGTTGAATTTTGTTGATGCAGCGCTGTATTTCCTCCTTCAATGCAAGAGTGTCTGTAGACTTTGAATTCCTTTTTATATGGTAATTTGAAATCAAATGTCAATAAGCCCACAGGTCGTTTGCCTGATATGCTATTCCATACATAACCCTATTCTGTGTACTTTATGACTCAATCAAAAAAACAATATAAAAATGAACTGTGTTTTCTATTCAATTCAAACTTGCCTGAATTTTGGGAATACCTTTATAAGCTTGTAGCATAAGCAAAATTTTGATTGAAACTCGGTAAAACTTAAATAATCCCACATGCCTAGCCAATAAAAACCACATGTATCAAAAAATCATCATCAATTTGCTGTAGTGAACTCTTCGATCACAAAAGTGATCTTCTTCAGTACAATGACATATATTTGAAGCATGGGGGATTATCGACATGAAAACTACAGGATAAGTTCCAGATGTTGCATTAATCAAAACATGAATGCTAAAAGAAACCTCAACATGGAGGTCTCACTAAAAACGTACTATTTGTTTATAAGTTACGCTAAACAAGAATTAGGTACCCACACACTGAGTTGGCCGAGGAAGTTCAATTATATTATTATATTAGCACTTTTTGTTGTGAAATTTTAAAAAACAGGCGATTAACGATTTGAATTTAATTGTGTCTATACTAAGAAGTTGGGAATTTTTGCGAAATATATTTTTTAGATTTCTATGTTTCAAGCCGGTTCCTTACAAAAAATGTAGGTATTATTGCAGTTCTAAGAAATAGTGGAAGTGAAAGTGTAACAATACTTTATATGGCGTTTTTTCTGTCCATCTTTCGGGGTACAGGACAAGTAAAAGCATATTATAACAAAATATAATCGTTTTCCTTTGCCGCTCCTGTATTTTCCGGTTGGACTAAAAGTATTATGGTAGGAAATACAGTACTTACAGACATCCTCAGTTACAAACAGCTATACCTTGATATTGTCTAATAGTTTGTCATTGATTCCAATCAGACATTGAATGTTGAAACGACCCCTGAAATGTAAACTAGTAACAAAAGCTAACCTTAAGATCAGAACACAACCTGAAATAAGTACCCTTTGTTTTTAGTTTATGTTAGACAAGAAAAACCCTTACCGAAGCATTGTAGGACATCCAAATTCTACGTGAACACAGGCAGGACATTAGACTACTTTCCGATAGAGTGAATAAACCGGCCAACAGAGGCAAGTTCTCACAAGCCAAGGAAACGCACGTAATTGAATCATAGGCGCGAGGGTGAGTTTCTCGACTCCCCGTACAGCGCCACGCGGCGTTCTGCCCTTAGTGAGAGAGTGGGAACGTCATCGGGGGGTGAGATGTGCGAGGGTGGGGGTAAGGGGATGAAGGAGCGTTGCCCGGTAACGGAGGCGGCTGATGATGAATGCATGGATCCACCACCACCGTCGTGGACGACGACGTGGCGGTGACGCTGCTGGCGACGCCGCTGATGATTGTCAACAGAAGGAAAGACACGTCGTTGTTGTTTGTTTTAGATTTTAAATTTTTTTAACAATGGCCCCAAATGAGGCAGTCTCAATAATAAAATAAAACTATATAAGAAATGCGTGAGAATTAAATAGGTTTTCGTGGTTTGTCCTTAAACTAAATCATAGAAACGTTCAAAAATACTACATATTCATTTATTTATTTAGAACCCATACACTGCCTGAACAGATAGATAACTCCAATGAACAGGCAGAAAAAAAACAAATTTATACAAAAAAAAAAACTGCAGTCGGTACGTGATAGGAAACGAACAAAAGCATAACTCATGCAACAGTTAAAAATACTTTCGAAGATTATTTTAAGTGGAACTGGAATCGTCAAGTTCTCTAACACACCTACCCATTACATATAACACAAAGTGGCGAAAATAACAATAAATTTGTTCGCGGAACAGGTAAATAAAATGAAAAGGTAATAATACCATGGCAATTATGTGAATCAGGAACGAGTAGGAAGATCCTATCTAAAAGAAAAAGGCAATCAATAGTTCCATTCAACAAATTAAATAAAAATTTAGCAGCTAAGAGATTTCTACGTTTGACTAAACTAGATAGATTGTGCCTATTTAGAAGTATGGCGTATGCCTCTTCCAGTGTTCACTCAATCATCTTTAAACCATAGTTACTACACCAAACGTCGTTGGATTGTCTCAATGTTATTACAATGTATATCATAGGTCGGGTACCAGATAATCGAACAATATTCTAAATTACCTGACAAAAGTATTAAGAAGTAAAGTTAAGTTGAAGTGTCGACTGTTTCTAATAACAAATCGAAATTTTAATATGCTTTAGCTATTATAGTATTAATGTGGTCAACAAATGAAAGCTTTGGATCAAATAACACGCCTAAATCCTTTCAACTAGCAGAAGCAGGCTGCTACCGATTTCACAAGTGAAAAATGTCGGTTCAACCCTACGTGTGTAAACGTCATAGTAGAACATTTATTGACATTCAAATGCATTGATCAATTATATTCAAATCAGCCTTTAGCTTACAAATATCTTCTAAGCTGCATATGCTATTAAAAATTTTCAAATCGTCAGCATTAAGCAAGTACTCGCAACGCAAGTCCGTCACAATATCATTAATAAAAATTAGAAATATTAATGAACCTAGAACAGAACCTTGAGGCACCCCTGATGTAGCCAAAACCGCACCAGACTTACAGGGTACCATGAAAGTTTTGCAATATGACTTAACAAACGGACGCAGGAGGCTGCATGTTGAGACATGTCAATGAGTGCATAGTAGCCGCCAGCAGCACGTCTGTTGATTTAGTTGTTCATTAGCATTGACAGTGAAAAGTGCGGACTATGGTATCGTGGTCACGTAGTGAGATAATGGCAGCTTTACGGTATAACTTTACGCGTGGTTAAGCATAGACCAGTGCTTAGAAGAAATGACGCTAGCATTAAAGAATTATTGTCCTCATAGTACGTGGTACAGAGAATTCCAAAGGGGCAATTTCACTCTGGAGGACGCTGAGAAGGAAGGAAGGCCCGAACGTCAGTAACAGAGGAAATTATTACTGCTTTGAGGAAAATGCTTGACGAAGACCGGAGGGTGACATACCAACAGATAGAGGAGACCTAACACCTTCATACACCAGCAATTCATTCAATTTTGCATGACCATGTACACGTAAACTACACCTGACTAGGTATCCGAAAACAACTCGAATATAGTGGGATTTGGAAATGTCAAGATAAACAGGGTCTCCTATTTAAACATTTTAAAGAACAACTGATTATGTGTAATTGACTAAAATAGATAAACTAGGTAGGAAATGAAGTCTATAAGATAGATTCCTACAGAAAATTCAGTTCTCTGTCTATTACAGAAATCTAGGACAGGTTGCCACATTTTAATTTTTTTAGACAAAATAAATAATTATGTTCAGTCCTCGCTGAAGAAAATATTTAGAATACATATCGCAGTACCCTCGTAATAGTACCAAACCGCCACGATTTCAAAGCGCGCACGCAGAGAAGGAAAGCGGTACCGCGCCCCATCCCCCTACCTTTCTCCCCTCTGGCCGCCTATAAACCTTCATTGACTTCAAAGGCAAGTTGTTGCAACAATTGGGTGATACATAGGGAGAGAGGGAGCTATTTACTTCGACGAAGACTTCACATAATTAATATCGAACATCACTTACAGGGAAGTTCTTTTGATCATGTAATTATGTTCCATCCTCGTCGAAGTAAATATTTAGAATACATATCGTAGATGTTCAAAGCTAGTTGCAACAACATACTACTAACGCTCTGCAACAGTAAATGATAGGTTGTACACAACTACACAAATTGTACGCACTGTGTCAACTACATAAATATACATTTCCATTGTAACAATTCAAGTTAAGGCTTTTAGCAACAGGTAGTATGACGTACCTTGTTCAAAAATTACCATCCATTTCATGGTAATGAGCAAATAACGTAATAACATAGTTATGCTTAAGGTGTGAAGACTTGGTTCACCTCAAAGGCCGCTTGAGCAAAGCTATTGTTTGGCATAAGAGATTTGTGACGTATCTCAGAAAACGCTCTCCAGCCCGCCGCGAGCCTGAGACTACTATAATTTAGCAGGCGCTGAGGTAGACGCATTTCATGTACTGTGGGTTGTCAATTGTGACACTCTCTGCTAAAACCGACTTCATCCATCTGGGAGCCGAGGCACCATGATAAAGTTACTGTTCAGTGACAAATAAATACTTTGCACACACTCTGACCTGAGGTTAGAGCTAGCAGTGTTGCTGATTTCCTCATCCAAATATCTACAGAGCTTACCAGCAACCCCTTTGGTTGGTTGAGAACAACCACAGTATCTATATTTCAGTTGAGATGGCCTCGGCCTGTAAATGCCCTTCAAAAACAATCTTATGTCTGCACCGTTAGTAACACTTTGGGCAAAAGACTGATAGTTCAAAGAATTATATCTTCATCTCTTATCACCTGTAAGGTAAGAAATTTCAAGGTAGGAAACCAGACTTGTATTTCTTCCCGACAAAGGTCCTACGGTAAATTAAGCCCACAATACATGATGGATTATCGATGCTGATTGGAATGACAGATTTCCAGTGACGATAACCAGGGTAAGCTTCAGAATTAGTGGGAGCGGCGTCCTGGGTCCCTCCATCAGATCATTGCGTTACTTCTAGAATGAAATTTCAGAAACACCGAATACTTGAACCAAAATCAGGACGGTGACAGGTGCAACTCCCACTCCGTTTCCAAGTCCCACTGACGCAAAAGCTCATCTGTACCAGTATTACTCCTAGATTTTATATTTGACGCGAGGGCAGTAAGATTTCTCTCTTTATACAATTGCCATAGTTTTCCCGCAACCTGGTCCAGGCGTGGAAACTAGACGCTCTCCATTGTATTGATGTAGGATGGGGTATAATATGCGTCAGCCCATCAATTTGGTAGCAAAGCATTCACCACAGTGGTTCTTGATGATTAGCATGCGGGATCTTCTCGGGTGACCAAAAACTAGAGACTCCTCCCTGGCCAACAAATGTCCCAGTCCGAGAAATTATACAACCAAAAATTGGATAACTCAATACCTCTGACCGCATCTGCCAGTTTCTTTGAGCCCCAACAGAGGTAGACCTTAAGTTATATTATGTTAGTGGCATAGTAGCGTTAAAATTCCCTTGAGAATTTTACAAGGCAAGACATTTCAATCGTTAGTGTATAGTCGACTGCAACGAAATGAAAGACAGGCTGACACCAAGATCCCGATGTTCACCGCAAAGTTTCGGACTCTGTCTCGGTTGCTGTCCATTATTGCCCTTACTCGGTTTAGTAATGTCTGCATCGTCCGCTCAAGTAAAGATCTGTCACAATTTAATACTGAGCCTGACTGTGCTCAATTTTTTCTTAGGGTATTCCAGAAATGGTTTTATTAACTTTGTGAACACATAAGGGGTATAATTTATCCTAAACGGTACAGCATTTTATTGGAAGAGCTGTCCCTTGAATATGTATCTGAAATATATTCTATGACTCTTCCTAACGGGTACCAAAATCCCTGCATATTCCAAATCCAGATTCGTTAAGAAAGTATATATATACGGAGAAATCTGATCCCAGCTCAATAGCCTAGAATTAAGTGTTATATTCCTATAAACAGACAAAGTGTCTTGAGCTAAGAAATCAAACGTGTTGATCCATCAGACTTGGGGGCAAGAAAAAGTTGGATAGGTGTTGATTTTTAGTTAGCTCAACTTTTTTACAGAGAGCACCGCAGCTAAGCAATTCATAGATGGACTAATGAGATTCAGCTATGAGAAGTGCTAAACCAGTCGCCATCTGAATGGCAAGTGACCACTTCAGTCCAGCTCAGGACTTTAGCGCCACTCCTAAAGCTCTGCCATTGATGATGAATACGCGTTAATGCCCATGCTTATCTGCACACCTCTTCTGCAATAGTGGGTTGATGCCAGTACGTTGTCTGGCCTTTTGGCTTTCAGTTGCTACTCAGTTTATCTGATTTCTATTTAGAATCGACTTACTTAGTCAGACCTACACCGAAGAGCAAGATATCACTGGAAGCCTCTGTCAGAGTACTCCCGAGTTCTTTGCTTTAATGTGAATATCTGCGAGCATGCACTCCTCTCCCTTCTTTGAACCTAGACCTAGAGGATAGAGTATTGCCACTTGCAGTCAATGAAATGTT